GACAATACTTTTATTCGCCTGACGTTTCGAGATCAGTCGCGGATTCGTCACCAGAGACATAGGCAGAGAGCAGTAGACCCTATCTGCTACTGCTCTCTGACTATGTCTCTGTTGGCGAATCCGCGACGGATCTCGAAACGTCAGACGAATAAAAGCATTGTCCCAGCGATCGAGTCGTCTTCTTTTTAGTTCTGTATGTTACGACAAATAAACCCCAGCCCCATCAATAGAAACGCCACGTTTTAAGAATATTTTAAAATACTTGTTATTTGATCTAGTTTCTGTTGATGCGTAAAATAAGTAATGGAGCGGAAAGGACATTAACATTTAGTGTATTATCTTGGTATTCATACAGCGCCTTTTAAAATCATAAAGCGGAGCCTAAAAGAAAAAAACGTGGCGAAAGAGGTTTCAATATAAATATATGGATGGACTTTTTCATTTACAGCAGAAAATATCACTTATTTGCAGGGAAGTGGAAGAATTGGTCAAATGTCCCAATGCTTACCTTGACCTAAGCTTGGAAAAAAATTAAAGCACGCAGATATCTGTCAGCGAAAAACCTTTTGGGACGATTTTTAAGCAGATTAACTTCTTGTAAAGAAGAGGAAGACGCGATCTCTGGAACAAACTTATTACAGGAACGTTCCTTTTAAATTGATGAAAGGCATATTGATTACCAACGTTTATTGTGGATATCCGTCTTTCTTGGGGCTGCTGAGTCCACAACTATGAGTTACACGCCCATCTCTTTAAAGCTTTCCTAGAATTCACTACTTTGGCAAATGCTTTTAAGATTTTGGTAAATACTCAGAGCAGAATCTACCCTTACGGACAATTGATTGAATAAACTGAATATCGTGAAGTGCGCGCCATTATTTTAAGGACGTTCTGCAATTCACTGTAATCCAAAAACAGAAATGCCAGTAAAGTAATTTGAGGAGCGTTAAGTTTTCTAAATATACACAAGTATGTCTTCTATCGCGCCTAGCAATTCTATTTAAATATAGTAGTCACTGACCAGCCTGGCGACATATGAAACATTTTTTTTCTTGTGACGCCCTTATCGGCACAAACAAGTGTAAACCAGTTGATGTAAATCAAACACATCTCAGACAATGTAAAAAGGGAAGAAAAAACAACCAATTCTCGCGAAACCATACCGGAATCTACACGTGAACTGCAGGCTCTTCGTTAAGAGCCATTTTACAAATTACATTCATTGTTGTGGGATATTGAAATACAATCCCTAGTAAAGGACTATTTGAAAACATAAGTCAGTAAAAGTGTGGTATAGGGTCCAAAACGGAAACCAAACTCCCAGAGTTCTGTAACACGTGGCCGACGTTATTGGTAATTTATTTTTATCTTTAATTTGTTATTTTATTTAATCGATAATTATATAATTATCCTAAATTTTTTCCTTGATTTGTACAGTGGAACCTCGGTTAAAGATTTCAATCCATTCAGGCAGCGAGCTCATCAGATGAAATGCTCGCTTTAAGAAACCTAGCCAATCAAACTGCATAAGTGCCCTGATTGGCTGCAAGTGACCGAGAACGCACTCCCTGGGAGCAAGACTCAACGGCGGGCACAGGCAAAAACACACACGCAGTGACGGCTCGTTAACCAAAACAATGTTTCTGCTAGTGGCTCGCTCGTTACCTGAAATAGTCGTGGATGGGGGCTGCTCGTCGCCCGAGGCTTTACAATATTAGCTTTTATAATAAGTTTGCCTACTATTGCCTGCTTTTGTTTGCTATATTTCTTTGATCTTCTCTTCTGCGTCCACGTAATGCCCCACCCGTATGATCCCTATAACTACCGGTCCTATATAACAGAATTCTGGTGCTTTGGTTTCCGTAGTAAATCCTATACGAGGATGTTACCCATAAGTTTACTTATTCAGGGTGTTGCGTAGACAGACTTTCTGTGCAGTTAAAACTTACACTTACCCAATTATAGCTATTGTTGACATTTTATGAATTTGTCGTTTTTTAAAAGGGCAGTATTACTTGTTGTAGTCTTTTTTAAATGTCCTCAATTCCCTTAAAGTCGTTAATCAACCTTCAAAGCTTTGGAAAATTCGTTTGCGCCGACTTGCCAGGGGCTAGCAATGTTTTGTAAATGTCAGCGTTTTACATGTCAGACTAGTCACATTAACCTGTAGAGCGTGGAATGAGACGTTTCTGTGTGCATACTCGCGCACAGGCGGTGTACGGAGGGACGTGGGCGGCAGCCCACGTGGCACTACCATTTTAACTGTATCGAGCTGGTGCTCAGTCAAAACAAAGCACAAAGTGTTGACACTGCTGATGAGCCATGGCACTCATACTTAAGCTTTAGCTCCACCGCGAAAA